CATTCGAATGTCCCTTACTCGGCTTCTCTTCGCTTTGCTCTTCTTCGCTTAGCTTGGCTCAACCCTAAGGCTTTTACTCGTCTCCACAAGAGTCATTTGACTCTTCCCCACTCGGTTCCTCTTTGCTTGGCTCAACTCATCTCTAAGACTTCCACTCATCTTAAAAAAAGACTTGACTATTTGCAACTCGGGTCGGGTCGGCTCATCCTTAGGACACTCGCTCATTGGAGTATCCTCTTCAGAAGAGTCACTCGACTCTTCGCGACTCAGCTCGGCTCGGCTCATCCCCAAGATGCCTGCTTGTTGAAGTCTCTTCTTCAGAAGAGTCACTTGACTCTTCACTGCTTGGTTCAGCTCATCCACAAAAAGCCCGTTCGTTGAAGTCTCCTCTTCAGAAGAGTCACTCAACTCTTTGTTACTGGGTTCAGCTCATCCCCAAGATGCACGCTCGTTGAAGTCTTCTCTTCAGAAAAGTCACTCGACTCTTCACTACTCGGTTTGGCTTATTCCTATGACGCCCACTCGTTGAAGTCTCCTCTTTAGAAGAGTCACTCGACTCTTTGAGACTCAACTCCACAGAGATGATTAGTCAACAAAGTGCAACTAGACTCCACACCTAGTCGACCAAGCACCACTCGACTCTACTCCTAAGGTAGAGTTCTACGACTGTACAATAGGGGACAAGCTAACACTGGCACATACCCGTCCATCTCTCATCCTAGCTGGCTCTATATCGAAGTACGACTTGACTCAACTCTCCCTCGGCTGTTCATCAAAGTCCATACTCTACCTTACGAGTCAGCCCTACATCAACTTTACATCAAATTTCGTTTCGGCTCAGCTATTTATTGAAGTCCAGCTCTACATTACGATCTGGCGCTACCTCGGCTCTATATCGATGTTCGACTCAGTTCAGCTCGACTCTCTCTTAACTTAATGTCGAGTGAGACCACACTCTCAAAGGACGACCCCACTTAATGAGCCCTTGACTCTCATTTGACAAAGCAACTCGACACCATGTCGAGCCGAGCGTCAAGGCCTAGATCACAACTCCTTGGTCTCCATGCTCCACCTAATAGGACATGTCAAGTGGAACTCCAACATTCTATCCAACATGACATTTATCGAGACAGAGTGCATACATCATCCACTCCAAAGGGTCCCGCACCCTAGTAGACAAAGCATGTCAAGCCGACTACTTCATCTTCAGTCAACTGCTCCATCCTTAGCTGACTCAATCCCGAATCAGTGTCATATGTACATCCTCTTCATACAAAGCATGAAAGAGATGGGACGACTTACCCTCCAAGAGGCACTGCTTCACTCGCTCAACACCTACATCCAACTCAGATTGCTCTCTAAAGTTAAGAAGCCTTTTAACTTAGAGAGTGAGGGACAAATTATAGATGCAAAAATCTGTATTGGACCCTTGATAGGTCCAATAACAAAAGGCTCTATGCCAAAGGCCCAACTTCGGTTGGTTTAATAGCAAAAGGCTCAACACCAAGGCCTAACTCTGGTTGGCCCTATAGCAAAAGGCTTCACGCTAATGCCCAACTCTAGTTGGTCCAATAGCATATGGCTTCATGCCACGACCCAACTTCGGTTGGGCTCATGCCAAAAGCCCAACTCCGGTTGGACTAAAAGCTTAAGGCTCAATGCCACAACCCAACTCCACATGGGCCCATATCAAAACTCATCTTGTGAGAGGACCATCCAGCAAGATGACTTATTTTGTAAGAAGGATTGCTTTATGAGTCGGCCCAATCTACGAGTTCGTCCACACCATAAGTCAGCCTACTCTATGAGTTAGGCTTTTCTATAAGATAAGTTGCCTTAGGCTCCAGCCCACCAGTCTACACTTATTCCACAATAGGATTCTAGTCTTATACAAATCCCAGTTCATCCAAGACTCCTAGTCTTACATGAACTAATAATCATAATCCTACATGGATTGGTACTACGAGTTTCCTGTTTACTCAAACTCCTACTATGAGAACATCTAGTTCTACAAGGACTCAACCCTTTTGAGTCCTCTATAAAAGCAAAGGTTAAGCCTCTCATTATGGATGGAATCACAATCCCTTCTCTAACTTACTAAGTTCTTGCTCCCAAGAACCATCGCCTTTGCCCCTGTGGCAGTAACAAGCGCTTCGAGTCAAACCATCCCCGAGAAGACATCAAGTCGTTCATATTAGATATTACGTCTACGACTAATTGAATCTGCTCTCTAAGCTAAATACCCTTTAACTTAGAGAATGGAGGACAACTGTATGGGCCAAAAATCGTATTGGGCTTGACAAGGTCCAATAACAAAATAAACTTATTACGGCCTAATGCCTTAACCAGATTCCGGTTGGGCCTACGCTTAAATCTGCCTTGTGAACTGACCACTCCATGAGTTGGGTTATCCTACAAGTTAAGCTAAATCGGGTTCCATCACATTATTCCAAATCAGCCCCAAAATAGGAATCAAAGTCCTATCTACTTTCCACTTCAGTCAAGATCCAAGATCTTACTCGAATTAGTAGTCTTGATCAGATAAAGACAAGTCACAAGACTTTCCTCCTAATTCGAACTCCTCTACTTAGTAGGACTTAAAGTCCTATTAGGATTCCAACCTTCTTGGTTCACTATATAAACAGAGGTCAGCCCTCTCATTATTCATTCAGAAATCACCCATAGCGTTAGCTCCTAAATTCTTACTCTCAAGAATCACCATCTTTCCTCACCGTAAAGCTTAGTTCTGATTAACTTCACCACCCTCAGCCACCGCAAAGCTATGCTCCGGCCACTTTGTGTTAGTCTAGCCCTAGCCACATTATGATGGTAAACCTTTCCCGCTCTCAGCCCTTACTAAATACCTTCAACCGTGCTGACGGCAAACACCACACCGGGGTCCCCTGAGCCTTCAAATTCCTTTATTCTCTTTATGCAGGTCCATCAGATTGTCAGTGACTCGCTTCTCACAAGATTCGTCCTTTCTGAATCAACCGTAGATTTTACCGTCTACAAGATGCTACTCAAGTGTAGAAAGTATTACCTTCCCTTTGATCTCCACTGCTTGAAATAAGCAGTCCTTGTATTTTGTATTGTGAACTAGAACAAACACGTTCATACAAAATAAGATTGTCAATTTAGAGGTCTGAAAATTGTTTCGACAATTTAAGTTGTTGGGGCTGGCAGTGTGCACAATAAGGATGGTAGCTGGCTTTTCTATCTACACATTGTACTTGTGGGATTTTTTTAATAAAAGTCTATTTAGATAGTCCTGGAATCTAAACATTCTCTGCTACCACAAATTATGACGTAGGCTCTCCCACTTGGACAGACCTTAGGCGGGTGCACCTCCCCTGTGCAGTGGAGACCACCAACCTAGGCTTTGGGCCTTTCTGATCAACCAAAGACCCTGTCTTTGTAAGTATGTTCTAATGGAGGGCTCAGCTCCTTGTTTAAAATATTTATAAATTATGTTTATTAGGGAGGCGGTTATCTACGATTCTTTTAGCATGTTTAAGACATGGATGGAGCTACTCGTTAACTTTTCAAAACACTAATTTATTAGATGATTCCGCTTATCCATACCCATAAACTTGAGGCTGTGACGTTTTTTTTTTTTTTTTAACATAAAGAGTTGCAATATTTAAGTTTGATAGAACATCTTTAAAAGAGTCTTTAAATAACTCAAACTCTTTATTATAAAGAGTTTATCCATAAAAACAAGAGTCTAACAGATTCTTTATTCTTTAAATATAAATTAAAGAGTGCATTTGACTCACCTCATTCAGAGAGTCAAATTTCACTCTCTAAGCATCTACAATGATACTATTTATTTTGAAGAGCATCTTCATTAATTTTAAAATATAAAGAACACAATTTTTATTCAAATCTAATAGACTCTTTAAATTTAATGAAGATGCTCTTTATTTTTAAGAAAGAGACTTAATAGGAGAGAAAATTAATAAATAAAATATATAGGAATTTGTAGTTTATTAATTTAATTTGACTCTCTAAATGTGAAGAGTCAAACTCACTCTCTAATTTATATTTTAAAGATAAAGAATCTGTTAGACTCTTATTTTTATTGATAATAAAGAGTTTAGGTCATATAAAGAGTCATTTGAAGATGCTGTAAATGCGCAAAATTCATTGAATCAAATTCAAGCATACTTAATTTATAAATATTTTAAAAAATTTACTGTTGCAGTGAACTTCAATACAAGAACACAATTGATGGTACTGATCTTGCATGCAGTAGTTGACTATATATGAGCCAAAAAAAACTTTCCATTAAGAGTAGCTATTTTACGTGATTTAAAGAAATAGGTCTCATTAGTCATTACCAAGTTAGTGCGGTGGTCAATTCATATCTTCTTTAAATCCGTAGGACCAGGTTAGTGCGGTGGTCAATTCATATCTTCTTTAAATTCATTTTAAAAGTGTGATATGTCCTTGTTTTGATAAGCATAAATGAATAAACATTCAAGGATTGGAACAACCCGCCTACAATCTACATTCACAGATAAGATAAATCTACTTTAATATCTTAAATTAATTTTCCCTTCTTTGTGCTCTAATTTGCTCTCTAAATTTTGGTGTTTTATTGATTGTGGGGTACTTTTCTTTTCTCTGTTTATTGTGAATTGTTTAATTGATTCTCCTTCAGAGGTGATTCAGGCTGTTTGGTAGCTCATCTAAAGCATTTTTTATGAAAGAATGAAAGAAATTTTCTTAATCTTTTCTAGGAGAACCTAATGAAACAGTCACTAAGTGTTTGTTTCAAGTCCAAAGAAATTTATGCCTTGGCTGTTGCGGCACATGTTTAATCTGCTGCTCGATATCTTTTGTAGTGTTTATTGAAGTAGCTCCATGGAAGACAAGACAGCAATCAAGAAAGATATTACTGAAGTAATTTTTATTCACTTTACTTGTGTGCTTTCTATCTTTCCATTTGCCTTCAATTGCCGTAATCTCATCTGCAATGTGGGTTTGCTCAGCTGATAGGCAATACTCCAATGGTATATCTCAATCATGTTGTGGATGGTTGTTTAGCCCGTATTGCCGCCAAGCTAGAAATGATGCAACCTTGCTCTAGTGTCAAAGACAGGTGTATATATATAATATTTTCTTTTTCTCAATTCATCTTCTTTGTATGACCATGTAAATCTATATGCTCATATCCACATATTTGGCTTTAAATGTTTGGCATGAAGGATTGCATATAATATGATCAAAGATGCAGAGGATAGGGGCTTAATTACGCCAGGAAAGGTATGCATTAAAAATCCTTCATTTCTAAAGTTGATTTGTTAGGCTAATCATAAAGATTATGCAAATTAACGTCACTCATTAACATAATCAAGTTAGATGCAATGACTTTTAAAGAAAAGTTTACCAAACTCAAACTAGTGGTGTATTTTTGATAAATATGAACATCATGACTCAAAATGTGCAAAATGTGAACTAACAAATTCCTTCTGGATGTGTTTCAATGAAATTCTGCAAAGACTGTCCTTGTAGAGGTTACCACTGGCAACACTGGCATTGGAATGGCCTCCATTGCAGCAACAAGGGGTTACAAACTCATCATTATGATGCCGTCAGTATGTAGTCTTGAGAGAAAAATTGTGCTGCGAGCTTTTGGAGCTGAGTTATATCTCTTTGATGAATCCTTGGGATTTGAGGAAATGTTTAAAAAAGCTGTGGAGATGGTAAATAATATACCGAATGGTTATACCCTTAAGCAACATGCAAATCCTGCCAATCCTGAGGTACTCTTTTGATTGATATCACCAAGTTGGTTGGTTAAAGAATATATGAATGTGTTTGTGATCATTTGTGTAGATTCATTATGAAACCACTGGCCCGGAGATATGGAAAGACTCAGGAGGGAAAGTTGACGCCCTTATCTCAGCGGTAGGGACTGGTGGTACAGTATCTGGTGCAGGGAGATTCCTAAAAGAGAAGAACCCAAATATTAAGGTTATCTTGAGAGTGTTATTTGAGCATTTGTTTGAATTTTATGATAGAGAAAAAGATTTCCTGATTATTTATGCCAATGGTTTTCTTTTTCATTATTTACTTGTAGGTATATGGTGTAGAACCATCTGAAAGTGCAATCTTAAATGGAGGACAACCTGGTGAATTAACTGTTGGAAAGATTTTGCATTCTTGTACAGATTTTGAATTCCTATTTTGAAGACTGTTGTTTCCTGATTGTGTAAATTTTGTGGTGCAACCTTTTATAGGAAAGCATCTAATCCAAGGCATTGGAGCTGGTTTCATTGCTGATACTTTGGATGTTAACATACTTGATGAAGTTATTCCAGTAAGTCTTAAAATCGATTTCTTGCTTGTTTACTTTGAATTGGCATGCACAATTTTATCTGCTAGCACAACATTTATGTTTATTTTTGAATTTCCGGAAAAAAAACCCTCACAATGAGATTTCATCATACATGAAACTCCTAGTATTATCTCCGGTGCTTGTCATGGATCCAGTGTAGGATCAATATAAGGTAGCAAATTGTGGTTATGAAGTCGGACTCTTAGGCTCCAATGGAGATTGAAGGAACAAGTTGATCAAAGTTTTTCTCTGACTTACAGCAAATCTCCTAACTTGTATTCAGCCCGTCTAGCTCAGTCGGTAGAGCTCATAGGATGGAACTTTTAGAATAGTAGAGCAAAATATAGGATTGTACTCTGTAATTATGCTTAAAAGAACTATAAAGTCCCTTGCGATGGAGGCATGGAGCTTTTACAATAGTAGATCAAAATATATAGTTCAAGGCTTGCTACTCATTTTTACTGTCAAAATACCTATAGTCTGAAGTATAGTAAATTGCTGATACAACAATGTCAGTGGGAGTTATATTCTCTTCTCTTGACTTGTACTACTGCCGTGACTTTTTCCAGATATCAAGCGAGGAAGCTATAGAAACCGCTAAGCTGCTTGCTCTGAAAGAGGGTTTGTTGGTATGTTAACATTTCCGAAACTAATTCAAGTACTAGCACTCCATTTTTGTTATCCAATCCGATTACATATCTCAGTTGAAATACAATGCTAATTGTGGGATTCTTTGACAGGTAGGAATATCATCTGGGGCTGCAGCAGCTGCTGCTATAAAGTTGGCAAAGAGGCCTGAAAATACTGGGAAACTTTTTGTTGTAAGTTTTGATTTTGTTCATTTACATTCAAAACAAAGAAATCAGAATGTATCTGTATTTATCTACTGTTTATTAGTATTTTGCATAGTAGTCTAAAATTCATAAGATATTCTGCCTATAACTTCAGTTGGGTCATAAAAAGCAAATTTAAGCAATATTAAGATACATCTGCACTTCAACAAACTAATAACATCAGATTGGCTGCCAAAAGTTCTGGTCAAACTGGGTTTTAGTTCATCCGTTTTTCGGATTTGAACCTAACACAATTATGCATTGCTGATAACCGTGCCTCATAAACAGGTATTGTTTTGAGGTGGACTAATGGCTAAACCCTTTCATAATCTGCATCATACTACAGTAACCATTGAATTTGTTTGGCTTCATGTGCAGGTGATTTTCCCCAGTAGTGGAGAGCGTTATCTATCCACAGAGCTGTTTGATTCCATTAGACGTGAGGTAGAAAATATGACCAGTCATTGAGGAGTTGAACAAATTCACAAACTATATTACATCCTTATAAACTTACCTGTATTCTGTATTCAACAAAAATAAATTGTGGTGATCTTAATAAATTGGAGCATTATCAATTATCAGTTACAATTTAACAACTTCAGAGAAAATATGTCTTAATCCAGGCATTAATCATAATAAACGTGTCTTAATCCTTGTCATCAGTTTGATAGGGGCCGCGCGAACGCAGGCCCCCGCTGCCACAAATTATGACGTAGGCTCTGCCGCTTGGGCAGACCTTAGGCGGGTGCACCTTCTTGGTGCAATGGAGGCCACCAACCTAGGCCATGGGCCTTCTTGATCACCCAAAGGTCTCGTCCAGGTAAGTATGTTTTAATAGTGGGCTAACCTCTTTACTTGTACATGTAAACCTTTTAACTGCCGTTTGTATCAGATCGATGTGGGATTATTGAAAGTTCTTCTGTCATTCGCTATTCTTCTGAATTTTCATCACTTACGGGGCCATCAATGTCATCAAGAGAAAGAGATTTTCGGACAACTCTTGTCTACCGCACAACCCTCTACCAAAGGAGTTAATTTATCTCTTTTCTTAGCGAGTTTGAAGTGTAAATTTTGAAGAAAATACGAATATTTATACCTCAGATATGTTGCTTAGTTTAAACCGTAGTTGAGAATCCCTTGAAAGGTGGTTCGACTGACCACTCACATATGCCACGCATTTTACACTATGATTTTACATGTCATCCCTTTTGTGAAACTAAAAGAGGAAGTGAAATCACATTGAATTTGTATATAAACATTCATAATAGTTCAACTACTTTTAGGTGGTCGAATGGTTTGATATGGACTTTGTGGTCGAATGGTTTGATATGGACTTTTAGATGTATTACTCAAGAGGTCTTGAGTTCAAATCCCTCATCGGTTACTAATAGAGGTAGTCACTGAAGTTTTTACCTATCCGATAGTTTCAAGTCTCATAAGATTAGTTGAGGTGCACGTAAGCTGATCCGGACACTTCGATTATTAAAAAAAAAAAAAATCATGCGTCTTAATTAGTTTATATAATCTGATGGATTGTTTTCTTGTTTTCTAATTTAATATGTGAATTAGCTCTTTTTGTCATTGTACAACTGACATTCAATTCATCTAAATGTTCTTAAAGAGAATTTTTCACGATCAACAATCTTTGTAATTTAATAGAAAACCGAGAGTAATTTTCTTTCTTAATTATTGGTATAATTGGATCCAACCAATGTTTTTGCATTCCAAAATTGTTTCTCTTTATATGACCTTATCCTGATTTATATAGCCAAACTTGAGTCCCTTATTCATTATGCATTAATGAAGCATGACTAGTAGGGGTGAGCGGTTCCGGGTACCCTGCATTTTCCAGGGGAACCGAAATCGAAACCGCATAGTACAGGTTCCCAAAAAAAGGAACCGGAACCGGAACCGCACAGTACAGGTTCTTCAATTCAAGGAACCGGAACCTAAAATGAAGGTTCCGGTTCCTTTCCAGGGTACCCTGTAAAAAATCAATTACCCCCCTATTAGTTTAAAAAATAACAAAAACACCTTATAAGTTTACAAATACACCCCTAACAAATTTTCATCTATTTATTCATTTGTGTCCAATGTAACTCATAACCTGTAATCTCTAAGCAACACTTGAATTCAATCAATTCATCACAATTCACATAAATTCGTCATCAAAACCAAACACAAACAATTATTCATCATAATTCACATAAATAAATTATTAATTTTATTAATTTATTAATTTTGTTTATGGTCAATTGGGTATTTAATATATACCAATATAATTTAGTAAATTTAATATTAGAAACTAATAATGTTATATTAAATAAGTGATCATACTACAATGAATTGTAATGTTATAATTAATTAAATTATACATTTAATTAAATGTAATATTATAATTAATTAAATTTTAATCATTTATTAAGTTGTAATATTGTTTATAGAAACATTATAATTAATAAATAATCATACCAAAATATTATAATATAATGTTGTAATAATAAATTATAATAATTTGATTAAGTATTGTATAATTAGTAAATTGCTAATGTTTATAATACAATGTCATAATCAATTGTAATAATTTATTATGTAATGTTATATTAATTATATGATCATACTATAATAGTATAATGTAATGTTATAATGAATTAAGTAATCATACCTATAAATCTATAATTTAATATTATAATTAATTAAATTTCAATCATTTGATTAATATACTAATGTTTATAATGTGTATAATTGATTAAGTAACTCATATAAAATAATAAAGTAATGTATAATTAATTAATTTTTTAATCGTTTAATTAAGTATGTAATAGTATAGTAAATTACTAATGCTTATAATGTAATGTTATAAATTCATAACTAATTAAGTAATTAGTTGATCATTTAACTATATAATGCTATAATTAAGTAAGTGATCATAATATAATGTAATATATAATATTATAATTTAATTGGTAATTATTACTATAATGTAACTTAATTAATGTTTATAAGGTTGTTATATTAATTAAATTTCTTATATTTAATTAAGTATTGTGCTATGTTATTGTAGTAATTAGTAATTACTAATGTTTAAAACATAATATCATAACTCATAATCATAGTAATCATTTAATTATGTAATATTATATTAATTATATGATCTACTATAATAGTATAATGTAATGTTATAATGAATTAAGTAATCATACTATAAATCTATAATTTAATATTATAATTAATTAAATTTCAATCATTTGATTAATATACTAATGTTTTATAGATGAAGTTATAATTGATTAAGTAATCATATAATATATAAGGTAATGTTATAATTAATTAAATTTTTATCGTTTAATTAAGTTTAATAATATAGTAAATTACTAATGTTTATATATAATTGTATAAATTCATACTAATTATGTAATTATGTAATCATTTAACTAAAATCTATAATTAGTAGTGATCTAATATAATGTAATATAATAAATTATAATTTAATTGAGTAATTATTTAACTATAATGAATGTTTAATTAATGTTTATAATGAAATGTTTATAGGTAATGTTATTAATTAAATTTCTTAATTTAATTAAGTATTGTGCTAATGTTTATGTAGTAAATTAGTAATTACTATGTTTAACATAATATCTAACTCATAATCAATTAAGTAATCATTTAATTATATAATGTTATATTAATTATATCATACTAAATAGTATAATGTAATGTTATATGAATTAAGTAATCATACTATAATCTATAATTAATATTATAATTAATTAAATTTCAAATCATTTGATTAATATACTAATGTTTAATGGAATGTTATAATTGATTAAGTAATCTATTATAATAATAAGGTAATGTTATAATTAATTAAATTTTAATCGTTTATTAGTAATGTAATAATATAGTAAATAGTAATTACTAATGTTTATAATGTATGTTATAAATTCATAACTAATTATGTAATTATGTAATCATTTAACTATGTAAGCTATAATAAGTAAGTGATCATAATATATATGTAATTAAAATATTATAATTTAATTGAGTATTATTTAACTTAATGTAATGCTTAATTAATGTTTATAATGAAATGTTTATAAGGTAATGTTATAATTAATTAATTTCTTACATTAATTAAGTATATGCTAATGTTTATGTAGTAAATTAGTAATTACTAATATTATAATATATGACATAATCAATTAGTAATTATTTATTATGTAATGTTATAATTAATTATATATCATACTATAATGTAAGGTTATAGTGAATTAATATTAAGTAATCATACTATAATTTTTAATGTAATATTATAATTAATTAAATTTTTAATCATTTAATTAAATTTGTACTAATGTTTATAATAAATATATAATTGATTAAGTAATTATACTATAAATCTATAACATAATGCTATAATTAATTAAATTTCTAATTATAGTCAATTAATTAACTATTTAATTATGTTATAACTTATAAGTCATTAATTAGTAGTAATCAATTAATGTAATGCATAATAATTATACTATAATCAATTAGTAATGTTATAAAATTATAATAATTAAGTAATCATTTAACTATATGTAATGTTATAATTGATTAAGTATACTATTTAACTAGTAATTAAATTTATTAATGTTTATCAATTTATCATATATAATTAATTAATTACTAATTTATTATAGATATACTTAGAACTTGATAATTGAAGTAAATAACTAAATATATTATTACTCAATCAAATATACTATTTTATTCAAAAATAATTCTTTTAATAACATTAAAAATGTAAAACACTTTTAATTAGATCATAATTCCAATTATTCACTTAATTGATCAAAACTTTAATATTAATGTATTATAATATATTAAAGTTTTTAATATGGTGTAATTTATATGTAATAAGTATAATTGTATTTGTATATTTATTTAATTAGGTTATTCTAAAAATTTAACTTTTTTCTATTTTAAATTTTTTTATATGTAAAATAATAGAAACTCCCCCATTATTTACATTTCACAAATATTTCATTATAGTCCAGGTTCCAAAATAGGTTCTAAATAGGTTCCAAAAATAGGTTCCAAAACAGGTTCCAAAGTAGGTTCCAAATAGGTTCCAAATAGGTTCCAAAACAGGTTCCAAACAGGTTCCAAAACAGGTTCCAAACAAGTTCCAAAACAGGTTCCAAACCGGGTACCCCCTACAGGTTCCAAACAGGGTACCTTTTTTACAGGTTCCGGTTCCGGTTCCGGTTCCGGTTTTGGTTCCTCCACATGCAAGAACCGGAACCGGAACCGCACAATAGCGGTTCCAAAAAATTGGAACCAGAACCTACCCACACAGTGTAGGTTCTGGGTAGGTTCCGGTTCTTACCCTCGGTTCCGGTTCTACCCGCTACCCGTGCTCACCCCTAATGACTAGATAAGCAGGCTTGGGGTCGAGTGCTCTTATGGTAAAAAAATTGTTGGTCAGTTCATAATATGTACTCATTAAGCGACATTAAACTTGCCGTTTCGTTATCTATCTACAGTAATGTTTGACTTCATTAGGCATGAAGCAGAATCAATGACAGTTGGTTGAGATGCTAACTCTAGCGTGGAAAATATTACCTTCCCTTTGATCTCCACTGCCTGAAATAGAGTCCTTGTATTATGTATTGTGAACTAGAACAAACACGTTCATACAGAATAAGATTGGATCAATTAGAGGTCCAAAAATTGTTTTGACAATTTAAGTTGTTGGGGCTGGCAGTGTGCACAATAAGGTTGCTAGCGGGCTTTTTTATATATCCATTGTACTTTTGGCATTTTTCTAATAAAAGTCC